CGGAACTACTAAATAATATATATAATTTTTAGCACGTTTTTCTTGTATGACACACATTAATTTGGAAAATCTTGCAAAAATAAAAATAATTGTCGGATGTTAATGAAACTTTCAGAAACTTTTCACAACTGATAGAAATAATTATAAATATGTTTTATTTTTTTTAAGTTATCGTAAAAATATTTTTTATAATTATTACCCCCTCCCCCAACTAATTTTATGAAAACTCTAGAAAATCAGCATTGTTCACTTTAGTGATTATATTAGTTAAAATCACAAGGCTTTGAGGAAAGCAAATCATATTTTTTAATTGGAAAAACTGCTGCTACAATCATGTCTGAATTGTAACATATTTTTTTCAATAAAATAAAGATATTACTTAATTTCAAATACTTTTAGTTGTTTTTATGAATATGGACAATATTTTCTGAAAGCCAAAAAATTTTCAATAAAAAATGAATTTTTAATACAATTATTTGTTATTTCTTTAATTATTTTAGATTTTTACATTTAAGTTGTTAAAATATTATAAAATTAGTGAAAGCCCCATTCAGTTTCGTAAATGGCATTATTAGATCATTTTTACAGCATTGTAAATTGTATCACTTCGACCAATCAGGAGACCCACAGTAAGTAGGAGATGTAATGTTGTGTTCTAAAACGGCTCTAATTAAGAAGTACGGAAGATCAGAAGCAATAATTCGTCACGTAGATTGAGTGTAGTATGTAAACATTCTCCGTTGAAAGTCCATTTCATTAATGCAAATTCTTCGTGCGAAACTCATTTTGAGCATATTAAATTATCGTTTTTACTAATTAAAAAAAATTGAACAAAATCCTAAGCCAACTATCTCAGTGTTCATTGTGAATTCAAATTATGTGCTACACGAGCCTATGTCACTCCAAGTGAAGTTTTTCACGTTATTTGGGAACATATTACAAATCAACTTTCCAATATTCCCTCTCAGTCTTCAGTCCATTTTGCCTGCAGATCATAATCAGTTCTTAAGTATTGTTGTCATCACCCGGATCACAAGGTGTAAAAAAAAAATGGTGGGATTTATTACAAGGTGATGACAACTTGTTATTGCCGGCGGGCTGGCCTTTAACCCATCCACGTCAAAGTCAATTGTGGCTAAATTTGAAACTTATTTTCCTTATCACTGATATTTTTTTTTAAAAATGAGTCATTCACATCAACCAATGTTACTTTTAAATGAAAGAACATTGTTTGACTTCAGAAAATACCTAGTTTCATGCGGTTCAGATCAAAAGTGTCCTTGATATTTTGATAAAACAGTCATTTTTCAATATTTTACACCTATAAACGTATGAAAATCTATTTTTTAAGAGAAAATAGGCTGTGACAAAATGACTTTTGATATGTTTGTGATGATTTTTAATTAGGATAGAAATTTTTTTTATCACAGGTGATCTGAATTGGCTTTATTTAAGTTTAGGGTGGGGACTATTTACATTATTCGGACTGCTGTCCTCATCTTTGTCGCCATATTTATTACAACGCTTTGGTCGTTGTTCGCTACGGTCTTCTTCAGGTGGTTAGAATGTCGAACTGAACCCTTTATTTCGCTCACTTAGGTAGACTATTCTAGTTCCACGTGCCATGTCTAATGGATGTCAGTTATCTCCTGTTAATTCCTCTCACCAAGTTCTCCACTGCCTTAACCGGGTATTGAACTCACACTCTTTGGGTCCTGTCACTGTATCTAACTAACGCCTTTATCCACTATACCATGTGTGCCAAGGGGGAATATGTATGAATTTCTTTCAATTATAAAACTAATGTTTTCAACAACCATTTTTTTTTTTCTCATATTGCAATTTTTTGCTGTTATCATTGCGTGTTTTTACCAGAGTTCATATTGCAATTTTTTGCTATTATTATCGCTTTTTTCTGGCACTCCTTATTAATGGTTTCCATATTGTATTCATTTCTATGCTTGGTCGGCTCAGGAGATTTTTGTGGCCTAGCATATGTGCTGATTCCTTAAGTTTACGAATTTTCCAATGGTGTTCTTTGTCAGTGATCTCAACCTGATCCCACATAAGGCGGTGATCTCCCTTTTCTCTCCATATGTGGTCAGCCACGCCTAATTTTTTCACTTCCCCCCGTGTTACAGCTTTCTAGTGTTCTTGAAGCCTTACCTTAAGGGGGCAGCCTGTCTCCCCCTTTTTACCGTAGTTGCACGGAATAGAGTACACACAGTCATGTTCTCCTCTATGGGAGGTCTTACTCGGGAGAGATATCTGCGAAGTGTCGTCCAGCTTTTGAAGGTTGTCCTGATATTATATGGACCGCAGATCCTTTGTATTTTCGCTGATAACCCCTTCACATAAGGCAGGCAGACTGTTTTCTGAGTGTTGTCGTCCTCCTCTTGTTCCCGCCTATTCCAGTTTTGGGGGTTGCTGCCATGTACCCAGGGTAGTTGTTACGTTGTAGGTACTACATATAATGACCAATTCTTTATCTAATGTCTCTGGGTCGCTACTTATGACTTTGGGTCGGTGTTGTAAGCAGCGGACGATCTCTTTCTTTACGCTGTATCGATGGTGGGAGTTGAAATTGAGGTACTGCCTGGTGAATGTCGGTTTACAGTATACGGATGTCTGGAGCCCATGCTCAATTTCAACATATGCTAGGCCACAAAAATCTCCTGAGCGGACCAAGCATAGAAATGAATACAATATGGGAACCAGTAATAAGGAGTGCCAGAGAAAAGAGATAATAACAACATAAATTGCAATATGAACTCTGGTAAAAAAATGTAATGACAATAGCATAATTGCTATATGAGAACTGGTAAAAATAGTTGCTGAAGACATTAGATTTATAATACCCAAAAATTCATACACATATGTCCCCAAGTACACATGGCATAGTGGATAAAAGAGTTAGTTAGATCCAGTGACAGGACCCAAAGAGTTTGAATTCAATACCTGGTTAAGGTGGTGAAGAACTTGGTGAGGGGAATTAACAGGAGATAACTGATAATTGACATCCATTACATATGGCACGTGGAACTAGAATAGTCTATCCCAGTGAGCGAAATAAAGCGTTCAGTTCGATATTCCAACCACTTGAAGAAGACCGGAGCGGACAACGGCCGAAAAGTTGTAATAAATATGGCGACAAAGATGAGGACAATAGTCCAAATAATGTAAATAGTGTACATAATACCTCATCTCAGAAATATAGACAGATACTGAAAGGCCGAAACGTTGTTATAAATATGGCGACAAAGATGAGGACAATAGTCCAATTAATGTAAATAGTGTACATAATATCTCATCTCAGATATATAGACAGATACTAAAAGGCCGAAACGTTGTAATAAATATGGCGACAAAAATGAGGACAATAGTCCAGATAATGTAAATAGTGTACATAATACCTCATCTCAAAAATATAGACAGATACTGAAATGCCGAAACGTTGTAATAAATATGGCAACAAAGATGAGGACAATAGTCCAAATAATGTAAATAGTGTACCTAATACGTCATCTCAGAAATATAGGCAGATACTGAAAGGCCGAAACGTTGTAATAAATAAGGTGATAAATATGAGGAAAATAGTACGAATAATATAAATAATGTAAATAATACCTCATCTCAGAAATATAGACAGATACTCAATGGCCGAAACATTGTAATAAATATGTCAATAAAAATGAGGACAATAGTTCGAATAATGTAAATAGTGTACATAATACCTCATCTCAGAAATATAGACATATACTTTAGGAGGGGGGCTATATGGAAACAGCTGTGCAGCACTTGTATTTTAATTTTTTTATAGTATTTATAATTTCTCCAGGTAGTATCAACAAACTTATGGTGAAAGCTACAGTACTAAAAAAGAAAATAAAAAAATTGGAATGCTGAAAGTTTTTTTTTTTTTTTTGCTTTTTTACTTTAATAATTACGAGGTACGACATAAGCTGGTTCACTTAAAAAAAATAACGTGAATTCTTTCCTCTCGTATGATAACTCGCATCTCTCGTTAGCTGGGAATACGTGATGAATGTCATCGCTCAGCACTTATCAGTCGCCAACAATATTAAGATAGGCTACCTTTTATTTTAAACAACATTTTTCTGCGAAGAAATTATGTAAAAAACTTCTTTCAAAATATATTAAATAAACTTAAATTTTCTAATTTTCTTCAAATAAATTTTGAAAAAAGTTCAATTGATTTTCGGACGATTTTTAAATGAGGAATTTAACTTTGTTTACAAAAATTTAAAAACTAGCAGATATCGAGATTTTTTTTAGCAATTTCTCTGACAAGAAAAAAAAAAAAAGATATTTAACTAAAATTTCGGACATACTAAGAATGAGTAAAAAATTTCGAAAAATAAAAAATACTTTGGTATATAATGAAATATACATTTAAGATGACAATTCCTTTTTCATCAAGTTTCAGGCCGTTTCTTGTCATCCAAGCTCTTTTTTATCGATTTTCATGGAGGTACCTAATTTTTATGCTCATTAAATTTTTATGTCATGGAATTTTTTTGTAGTTTCCCTGAGACTATGCTGTATTTTTGTATATGTAGGATTAAATGATGATGGATATCTTCTCTTGTTGAATGTGCAAATTGTAATAAGTGAATGGGTCGTGAATCTGATTAGCTAGATATAAGATAATAAGTAATGACCAGCCTCAGCCCGTCCTTCCATCAATTTTCTGCCTTTGTCACAATTGTATTTTATGTACAATAAATCTTGACAACGGTGACTACGACCAGGCGATAAACAAACATTGCAAGGGTCAGCTATCACGTAGCGATGCAATACCTTCCATTTGCAACTAAGAAAACCACAGTGGCCGCATCGGCCATGAAATTACAATTCAAACGTAAAGATAATTAGTAGAGACGTCATTTTTTAGAATTGAGGAAGAAGAATATGTTATTTTGATTGATGCAGATTATTTTCCTTTTTTTTATGAGGGGTGGTTGTTGGTTTGTGGGGAATCAAGATTGGTTTAAGAAGAAATCCAGGAAATTTCTGTTGCAGACTGGAGGTGGATATGTGCTATTATCAAACATATCTTTCGGAATAATCCTGTCAAAATGGGTCGCGTCTGTGTGACAAAGAGCGATGTAATCGATGTCTGGGCCGCGCCCCCACAAAGGACGGAAGTAAAACCACTGGTAACGTCTATTAGCCACTGGGGTGAAAAGGTAAATATCGGTCTTCAACTGGGTGGCAGCGCCGAACAATTCTGCAGTGGTGGCCCAGACTTTGTTTTCCCGCATTCTTTCCAGATGCTCCTCAATATTTTGCTCAACCTCAATAAAATGGGCAAAAAGGCTTTTATGTTTCTGCATGTAATCGACGATAGAGTGCCTCATCGAGTCGTAATATTTTTCGTTGCCCATCATCTCCTTGCTGAGGGCGCGAAAAAAACAATTGCCATCCCCCGTTATAAAATCGATCCGGCGGTTTATACGCGCCAGAATCCCTTCCAGTTTAATGTACGTCTTGTCCCGGGGAGGCGGACGAATGTTGGAAATAGACGTTAGGCTAGGTTCGTATTTAATGAGGCGCCGAAGCGAACGGCTCCGACTTCTGCGTTTACGCACGTTCCTGTCCGAGGGCGTCTGGCTCCGTCTCCATCTTCTATCAACGCGGTCCATTCCACAGCTATAGCTTCGAGCGCGCTCGCCGCTCAATTGGGCTGTGTGGACCAGGTCGCTGGTCCAGATTCTACTTGGACGGGCAATATCGTAGATTGCCCCTTCGCTGGTCAATGGGGGATTAACGTATAATGTTGTTTTTTTTGGGTTTTTTTATATTTTCTATCAATCGCTCCAGAAACGAAAGCGACCAGCAACCGTCCTTTGCCTGGAAGGTACGGTTACTGAGGAGTCACATGACTAACAGGCGTCACAATAACGTCATTGCGGATATTACGTCATAAAAAGCACACACAACGGAATCAAAGTACAGCTTTTTACGTTTTCTCTTTTTATTCTCTTCATTTTTCAGATTTTACTTCCACAGATACAGATTATCGTCATCTTATGCAAGAAGATTGCAAGCATCGGAATTAAGCATCATTCTTGGCAGTTCACTTTAGGATCGTGTTATATACCGTACCTCTGAACACTAATCTGTATGTCTCAATCCTCATAAATATGTTGGACACTATTGTAAGTGGGAGTAATATAATAGTCCACCACTAGCAGTGGTTTAACTACTTCACGCCGCTGGCGAGTATTGTATTTTGTTGATGCTATAAAGATTACCATTTCATTTTCCAATCTCCGTTTTAGTTACTCCATATTCAGTAACTCTTCCTAGGTTACAACAGATAGATAGATACACAGACACACACGCACACACACAAACATATATATATATATATATATATATATGTATATATATATATATATAGAGAGAGAGAGAGAGAGAATTAGTGTTATGTGGTTTACCCACTTCACGGCACTAGTGAGTATTGTATTTTGTTGATGTTTTAAAGATTACCATTTCATTTCCAATCTCCATTTTGGTAACTCCACATTCAGTAACTCTTCCTAGGTTACAACAGAAAGATAGATAGATACACACACATACACACAAACACACACACACACACACACACATATATATATATATATATATATATATATATATATATATAGAGAGAGAGAGAGAGAGAGAGAGAGAGATAGAGAGAGATAGTGTTATGTGGTTTACCTACTTCACGGCACTAGCGAGTATTGTATTTTGTTGATGTTTTAAAGATTACCATTTCATTTCCAATCTCCGTTTTCGTTATTCCTCATTCAGTAACCTTTTCTAGGTTACAGCAGATAGATAGATAGATAGATAGATAGATAGATAGATAGATAGATAGATAGATAGTGTTCTGTAGGGTACCAATGAACAGTAATGGGTATGTCCCAATCCTCATAAATATGTTGGACACTATTGTAAGTGGGGGTAATATGCTGTCTAAGTAATCCACCACTAGCAGGGGTTTACCTACTTCACGCCGCTGACGAATATTATATTTTGTTGATGCTCTAAAGATTACCATTTCATTTCTAGCCTCCGTTTTGGTTATTCCTCATTTTTCTAGGTTGCAACAGATAGTTTAGAACATTTTGTTTTTCGTTTGGTCCGTTTTGCCTTTTCTTTTTCTTCTCTTCTTTTTAACTTAGAGTATGCAAGCGGATACGCTCTCTATATTTGTTTATTTTCGTTCTCGTCTCTATTTCATTCACTTACCCATCTCTTCCCTTATTAGGTAACCGGTGTTTCAATCCTCTGCTGGGTGTGAAACGCATTTCGTATACTTTAGTTTCGAATTTTGCAATTTGTTTTTCACCAAGTTTTTTTTTTTTGGTAAAAAAAAAAAATCATACCAAAATTAACTCCCACAAATGTTTGAGGAGACATTCATTTATATGAACGCACAACAAAGACAGATCACACGAGAAAAGACGAACAACTATTGTCCTCATATTTGTCACCATATTAATTACAACGTTTCGGCCCTTCAGTATCTGTCTATATTTCTGAGATGAGGTATTATGTACACTATATATACCATTCGGACTATTGTCCTCATCTTTGTCGCCATATTTATTACAACGTTTCGGCATTTAAGTATCTGTATATATTTCTGAGATGAGGTATTATGTACAGTATTTACATTAGTCGGACTATTGTCCTCATGTTTGTCGCCATATTTGTCACAACGTTTCGGCCGTTATACGCTCCGGCCTTCTTCAGGTGGTTGGAATTTCGAACTGAACCCTTTATTTCGATCACTGGGCTAGACTGTGGATAAAGGCGTTGGTTAGATCCAGTGACAGACCCAAAAGAGTGTGAGTTCAGTACCCGGTTAAGGCAGTGGAGAACTTTCAGAGGGAAAATTAGCAGGAGATAACTGATAACTGACATCCATTAAACATGGCACGTGGAACTAGAACAGTCTACCCCAATGATCAAAATAAAGGGTTCAGTTCGACATTCCAACCACCTGAAGATGGCCGGAGCGTGCAACGGCCGAAACGTTGTGACAAATATGGCGACAAAGATGAGGACAATAGTCCGACTAATGTAAATACTGAACAGACGAAATGTTTATTCTTAACGCACCAAAAATTACACAAATTAAGTGCTTTATGTTCAAAATTATGGCCTATAGAATATTGATTTTCCAAGCGTTGCACAAGGCCGAAAGTGGGGGGAGGCACCCAGTGAGGATCGAATTCACTACTCTGTCGTAATTGTTCTAGCGCAGGGTTTTTCAAACTGTGGTCTGCGGACCACAGGGGCTCCGCAAGGACAAGATAGGTGGTCCGTGGACGGCAAAGACTTTTTTATGGGTGACGTGCAACTTATAGCGCTTATAAGTAACTTATAGGCCGATCATGAAATAAATTGATTCAATAAACTATTTCATAGATTTGATATACTAATATAATTTGTATCTTAAATTGATAAAGATAATGGATTCTATTCATGCAGGGAAGGAACCAAAGGATTTGAATTTTGGATCTATTTTGTGATTTCTGGCTTTCTCATTGGCTGTTAGGCGTTTGCATTAATGCAAAATTATATTCAGCAAATATTTATGTATAATTTTCATAAGCGTTTATAAGGGGGTCCCTAAGGTAAAGCCTGAAATATGAAGGGGTCCGCAAGTCAAAAAGTTTGAAAACCCCTGTTCTAGTGAGTAAATCTTGCTAAACATTACACCGCCTCGAGGTGCCCATGATGGCCAATAGCATACAGGTAAATTATCAATGTGAATCAAAATATGCCTTTAATTAAACTGCTGCACAAGAAATTCCTCAGAAAAGAAAACTACAAAAAGCGAAGAAAAAGAGAAATGCTTCTATGAATAGTTTTCAAAAAATAATTTGGTGCAATTTTCGAAACAAACAGCGAAGAAGTGATCAAACACACAGGACGAAAACTTTTGCATGAAATACGAGCGACCTTGTTTCTGTTTTCAATTGTTGTTTGGTTGTTGTCAAAATTCTTCTGCGTTGTTTTCTTCTTGAACCGGGGCGACCTGAATTCCGGCAGTAGATTTTCGTTTCGATTCTGAAACTCAAAGGTACCGCTTAATAAACCTGCAGGTCGACTCCAAATATGCAGCTCGATATTTAGAGAAAAAAACCTTTTTATTGGTTTTGGATTCAAAACTAACGCAGCTGCATTACCACTAATCAAAATATACCATAAATATTTTCGAAAATTAAAGATTAATCAAAAGCCCATCGCAGCGTCTGCTTTCTCTCTGAAAGCTCGATATACATTTATATCAATTAATTGGAATTTCTACCATTAGTTTTTGTGTGGGTTGGGAGTGGAAATCAAATAATGACACGATTTTCTTTTGCTACGTAGATATATTTTATATCATTGTAAAATAATCACACCTGTTTGGGACTGCTCGGCCTCACATTGACTGCTGAGCTGAGATAGAACAAATACATTGAGTCAATAGCTTCGTCCACCGCAAGGAAGGTTGGCTCCCTGTGCCGTGCCAGGAAATTTTTCTCACCGGAGTCAATCCTTCAAATCTACAAATCAACCATTCGCCCTTGCATGGAGTATTGCTGCCATATGTGATCTGGTGCTCCTTATGTTTGTCTCAAGGTTCTTGATAAAATCCAGAGACGGATATGCAATGTAATTGGCCCTGATCTGGCATCTCGTCTGCAGTCGCTCTCTCACAGTCGTGCCGTCGCTTTCCTCTGTCTTTTTTACAAATACTTTCATGGTAACTGCTCCGAGCAGCTGCTTTCACTAGTTCCCAAACTTCATGAATTTAAGCGTTCTACTAGGCTAGCATCTAGCTCTCACCCTTTCACTGTCGAAACTGTTAAATGTAACCGTCTCTTCTACTCCAATAGCTTAATGTCTCGCACTTTTCGCTTGTGGAACCCCCTCCCCTCTTCCTGTTTCCCTGATAGCTATAATCGCCAACTATTTAAATGAAATGTCAATCGACGTCTCCAGATGCCCTGATCTATTCCCTATCCTTCTCTTCATCCTTTCCTCTATCAATCCTCTTTGCTCTAGCTCCAACTCTCTGTAACCCCTTGCGTGCTAGTGGCTTCCCGCCTTGCTTGGGGGTGAAACGCTTAAAAAAAATAATGATATTTTTAACTTTCCCGCCAAAAAATTTAATATAATTTTTAAACTAAGAAGTTTATTGAACAAATGAGGTATTTTGGTGGTGTTTTGCGTCAAACAAATATGAATGCAATGCTATGGTGAAAGGAATAGTATTTGCATGGACTGGTCACTAATTCAGACGAATCAGTTCAATGGTTGGATCAGTAAAGATGAAACACCACACCCACTTTTGGCATCGTGCCACATTCGTACAGTAAATACCTTCTCAGTTAAGTATTTATCAATCCACCCACGAGGATAGAATGTGGCACAAGGCCGGTTTAATGTGGGTATCCCCGATCCCGTAGGCTCGGCCAAAAATATAGCCTTTTTTGAACCCGCCTTGACGGATTCAGGCCCTGTCTAATAATCCCCGAACGAAACTTTGCCCTTCGGCAAAGCTTCGTCTTTAACCTCTCTGCTAATGCAGAGAGTTCGCAGACGCCGACTCGGAAGCTCACAAAGGCAGCGTACTACACTACCTTCTCAGTTTTGTTTCCACCGTAAAAGAAATCATCTCCATCTGAGTTTTCTGATATTGTCTTCTGCTTTGTTTAATTTGTAGACTAGGGCGACCTAGATGCCTGCAGCAGGTGTTGATTGCTAAAATCAAATCAAAGCCCACCTTTCAAAAAACCTACAGGTAGGCTTCAAACAGAATTCTCGAAATTTGGAGAGAAACATTTTCATTGATGGAGAAAAGAGTAAGAGACAGCGCTTGCTTACTTATGTCTTTTTTAGTTTTATATAATAGCTCTGTAATTGTCCGTAACAAATGTTTTACTCCTGTTCACTGAAAATCGTTTCATTAAAACTATTTAGAATAAACTTCTGCAGCAAACTTTATCTCATAGACATATAGTATCCATATTCTCTCAGTAACGCTTGCCATTTTTTGAATCGGTATACGGCGTGTGGAAGAATCAGGAACAGAAACATTAATGATAAGCGGGAAGACAAAAGAATATTCAGGACAGTTGGTAGTGATTGACATCGCATTTTCATTTTGCAGACTAAAGACTGGCACAAGGTCACAAAAATAGAGTACCTTGTTAAGACCAAACTCATTACAACTGTAACAATTTCGTTTTTTTTTCTTCTTTTTTTTAAAATTGTTATCACCCCATGCAAGGCAGTAAACCCATTATGACAAAATGGGATACAGTGTGTGGGAGAATTACGAACAGAAACATTATTAAACATAGGGAAGAGAAAAGAGTAATCAGGAGGACAGTAGATAGCGATTAACATCGCATTTAAATTTTTGCAGATTAAAGTTGGCTGGAAAGCATGAAGCCGCAAGGGATTTCCACAAACGAGGTTCGGGACTGTTAGCATAGAACTTAGGGCTGCATCTATCCAGCTCAACTAATTACATGAGATCTTGACGCTAGCCTAATACTTCTCTTAAATTCAAAAATCTAGGTACCATAGCGAAGAGCAATATTTATTTTGTAAAAATATACAAAAATGTGGCACAAGGCCAAACGGGGGAATGGGGAAAAGGATGGTCTTCTTCTGTTGTATAATTAAACTTAGCTCGGAACAATAACTGAGCCAAACATACCACAATATTCCTTAAACCTAACCAACGCATTCTTACTTAATATTACAGCTACCGTAATCTATTTGAATCTCTATGAAGACCAAACTAGTCAACATATACACAATTTTTGTCGGGGGTGGGGATGAAATAAAACAACAACTTATGAAATATAGATAAATTCCCAGATCAATTATATGGACAAGACAGATTGGTATGAAATGACAATTGGAAAAAAATCTTAGATTTTGCCGACGCGTTTCGTCTTCCGACATTTTCAAGGCAAAAATGAAACAAAAACAACTACAAAAACATTTCGATTTCATTTTTGCCTTTAAAAAGTCGGAAGACGAAAAGCGTCGGCAAAATCTAAGAATTTTTTCTAATTGTCATTTTATATCAATTTATGAAATCTGAACCCCAAGCAAAGAACTCATCAAAACAATTATCATGAAAGTGATTATAGAAACGACACAGAAAGTCAATCTTATGACGATGGGGAAAATGTCTAAATCCGAGTCGCCAGGCCAGGGACCATAATATTGCTGATT